GGTTTGTTTTTATTTTTACACCAACACTCCTCATGCAGAAGTGTTTTCTGCCAAATATCTACAAATCTATCGATGTTTCACTAATCTGCTGCAACAACATGTTAAAAGCCTGAAATACGGAAGCCTGTAAGGACCGCCCACTCAGCCTGACTCCAGGTGGGGTTAGGATGAACACTAAAGGATCAGCTATAAGAACATTAACTTTAATGTTTCACAGAAACACATCATTCATTCACCAACTGTTCCATTGAAGGTGTTTACTATTCCTCTAATCATTTAAACATCAGTCTAGTTTCTTTCTGTTTTACATCCTATTGTGTTTGTTAGTGGTGTTTTTATGTGAACATTGATTCTGACATTAAATCAAACCCATGAATCGATACGTGAATTGAACAGATGATGTCATCCAGGCCTTCAGCAGTGAGGTTTTTATCAGTGAAAGCTAAAAATGAACCCTGTCTCCTCTTCATGACCCCTGCAGACAGCGTGCTGCTGAGGGACGTCCAGGCTCTGACCCTCTACAGGAACCGCTACACCACAGCGCGGCGCTCCAGCCCAGTCCCTCAGCTGAAGTGTGTGGGCGGCTCTGCAGGCTGCCATGCCTTCATCCCTGAGGTGGTTCAGTGTGTAAACAAAGGCTGGGACGGCGTGGACGTTCAGGTAAGGAGGACTGGGAGGGAGGGTGGCCATGGCAACCATCTGGATTATTAAGGTTTTCAAACTCAAAATTCAGCCAAATTTAGCCACAGATTGGACCCACTGTTAGGTATGGTGGTGGCAGCGTTATGCTAGGGTGCTGTGTCAGTGCTCTTTGGTTTATCTGGAGCATTTAGTAGCTCTACATCAGGTCAACGTCCAGCAGATTGATAGAAATACGTCCACACTGGAAAAAATCTAATTCTAGATAAGTCATTTTTTCTTAAAGTAAGTGAATTTGTTCTTGAATTGAGAAAATAAAAGAGACATTTTGCCAATGGAACAAGACAATTTACATTTAAAATAAGAAAACACAATTGCATTGTCTTATTTCAAGTGAATTTTATCTAAATATCTTATTTCAACATTAAAAATACTCATTCCATTGGCAAATCATCCCATTTACCTACTCAAATTAAGGGTAAATACACTTAATTTGAGACATTTTTTCTTATTTCTAGAAAATGTTTCCATTGTATATCCCTGACTCCACAGGAATGAAGTGAAACGAAATAGAAAAAGTGATTTAAATTAGTGAAACTCAATCTGGAAAAGAGAAATTTGAAAAAATAAACTTTATAATAAAGAAAAAAATATTTTGTATTATAATTCTTATTGGAAAAAATATCAAATTTGAGAAAACACACCAAGTTTTTGAATACATTTTTTTTAAAAATGTCTATTTTACAAAGCAAAATGATCTAGAAATGAGCAAAAATTAAGTGTATTTACCTTTAATTTGAGCAGGTAAATAAGATGATTTGATGCAGTTGATTTTTTTTTTTCTTATTATAAATGTAAATGGTCTTGCTCCATTGGTAAAGTGTTTTAATTACCTCTTCAATTCAAGAAATAATCCACTTATTGTAAGAAAAAAAGACTAATGTAGAATGCAGTTTTTTTGCAGTGTGTTGTTTTGTCAGGGACGTGTATTGAAATGGAAACCGTAATAAAATGAGGAGTGGGGCCCCTCAGCGCTGACTGGCCCCGGTCTGCTGCAGGCTTCGCTCAGCCTCTGGTTGGATATTTTATTCTAGATGGTTCTGAGTGTTTCTGCTTTGTTCGTCTCAGTGGGAGTGTAAGGCGGACCTGGACAACGCCTACAGGTTCGGCCGTATCGAGGTGAGCTGCGAGGGATACAACCACCCCTCTGATGACTACATCCTGAAGGGCTCCTGTGGACTGGAGTTCACCCTGGAGCTGACCCAGGAGGGCCAGAGGAGAAGTCCAGGCAGCGCGGGCTCCCATGGGGGGTTTAAGGAGTGGGGGGGTAAGAGGAAGGCAGAATGAAGCCGAAATATTTCACTGAACGCAAACATTCAGCTCTTCTCTCGTCCTGCTCCCCCACCAGGACTTGGAGGTCTGGCCTCTACTTTCTTCAGCAGTTTTTTTGGAAACAAGCGGCACCAGAACCATAACCAGTACCAGAACCAGCACCACAACCAGCACCACAACCAGAACCAGCACCACTCAGACAGCGAGTCATCAGGCGGCCTGTTGGTGGTGGCTGTGCTTCTTCTATTAGCTTATGGCGTCTACAAGCTGTTCCTCAGCGGGGACGGCGCCCAGTTTGGGCCCGGTGGGGGGCAGGCAGGCTACCCTCAGGGGAACCATCCCCACAGCATGGGAGGACCCCCCCCTCCTGGCTTCAAGCCTGACTACACAGGTATGTGAGCAGAAGCAGAACCCCGCTGGATAAAGTCTGTCCTCCTAACATCTGCCTCCTCTATGTCTCCTGCTCAGACTCTCCAGGATCCAGTCCAGGATACGGTTTCCATAGCGATTACACTAACGGACAACGGTACCCAGGAGGCCGCGCCGGTCCGGGCACAGGCGGGGGCTTCTGGACTGGGATGGGGACAGGGGGAATGCTGGGATATCTGTTTGGACGTCAGAGGTGAGTGAAGGTGGCGTTTAGAGGCGTATGAACTAGGGCTGCAACAACGAATCGATAAAATCGATAAAAATCGACTTT